TTCTGGATGTTTTTTTTCTTAAGTTTTCCCCAGCACCTGTGCCCGGCATTTCAAGAGTCAGGAAGCACGGCAGGACAAGGAGCACACGGCAGGGAAGCCCCACACCAGCCATCGTATGCCGGCCGTGAAAGCCTTCGACAATACATTGAAATTGAGGCAGTTAATGGGAGCAAAAGCATTTTCCTCTCTTTTCACCACTTGTCTTCTCAGTCTGATTTCTTGAGTGAGTTTCTGCTGCCAGGAGAAACTTCTTACTCCATGGTCTGGGTAAACCTTCCCAACTCAGACTGCAGTGTTCTGTGGCGGCTCTGTCTGTGAAAATGACTGTTAGCAGGTGGCCCAGTCCGTTTTTGTAGCATCTCAAGGCACCACAACACATCACAGTTTGACAGAATACTTGCCCATAACCCATGTTTCTGTGGTTAGGTGTACCAGTCAAATGCAAACTTGTTTTCTTCTTTTGAACTTCCTATGACGAGAATGGGACCTGCCCAGTAGCAATAACAATATCCAATCAACTGCCTTTCTTTTCCTCTCTGAATCACACTCTGAAAGAGAACAAGGTGAGAGTTTGCTATCCAAGGCTGACTTTTCTGCACACCCCGCTTTTGCTGATGTTCGAAATGAGGTAAGGCTTTCAGAATTTGAAGTGTGGGATACCAGGCAAGAAACATTTTAGCAAAAAAAAAAAAAAAATTGCAGTAAAGATCTTGTTTTCTGTGATCCTTTGGGCTGTGCCAGAGGACTGCTCCTGTGAAAATTGGAAAGAGCAAATATGCCAATTTATGCCTCTCCTGAAAATTTTGAGAGACTGTCAACAGGTTAACTAAATGAGTGAAATGGTTGTTTGGTTGAGGTACAAAGGATAAAAATATGGCAGAGAGAATTTACTCAGTGTCACTGTAGGCAGGAGCAACTTCTCGGTTCCTTCCTGAAGTTATTACTGGACTATAATTGGCAATGTGTTAAGAGGAGCAAATCATCAGTACCTGGGCCATAAGCATATCAATTGCAGTATTTGATTTAGTGTTAATTACACTGAAATCAAATCAAATCTATATTTGTCCTCTCTCCCCCTTCTGGGGTTGTGTGCCTCCAGTATACCCTTCTAAGGTCCGTGAGATCCCAAAAAGGCAGGGTACCCCTATTTTGGAAGGGTGGGTATAAACCAAGGAGATTACATAATGAGGAAAAGGGTTTTCCTGGAACATGAGGAAGGCTTCCATGGCTAGAAGTTTTCTAAAGCAAACGTTGGTTAGCCATTCAGCAGGTGGATCTCAGCTGCATTTCCTGCCTTGGTAGGACCGCATAAACACCCAGAGTCCTTCCACTCTAGAAAGCCACAATGAAAGAGGTGTCTTGGTGCCCCCCAGCTTTTTGAAAGATCTTGGTGGCTCTAGAGAGTAAGGAAGACAACCTTGACAGAGATACCCAGGCTTCATTCCTAGGCAAATGAGCTAAAGCATTTTTAAGTCCAGAGAAAACATTTGGAAGTGGCCCCCGACAGACACTAATTCACGGAACTCTAAGATGGAGGAGGAGGTCCAGCACAATCAAACTTGCAAGAGTCTGTTGTTATAGCCAATCTCAATAAAAATAATTTTAGCTGTCCTGTGGAGTTGATTTCATGGCCTGGTCTACCTAGTGGGGCTGACAGGACCTGATTATCAGGGCAGAACAGGAACAACTTAACCATTAGGCACAGTAGTGCCTAAGTGTGGATAGTAAAGAAGACGTCCTTGATGGAGATATGCAGGTTCTGTTGCCTAGGCAACAGCACCTTGATGGAGATATGCAGGTTCTGTTGCCTAGGCAACAGCAGCTGTTTATTTCCATCATGGCCATCTTCCTTACTCTCCACACTAAGGGCCCACGAAAACGTTTAAAAACAAAACAAAACAGGAAGAATAAAAATGAAGACGTTATTTACTTTCATGGCTTTTAATAAATACTTATTTTCATGCCTTTTAATTTAAAAAAAAAACAGGCAAGAAACACGCCACATTTGAACATCAAACTGACAATCTTATTTGTAACTCGTAGGTATACCATGAATGGTAATTTTAATCATGTTTTATTGTGAACCGCCCAGAGTCACTTTTTCGTGAGATGGGCGGTATCTAAATTTGAAATAAATAAAATATAAAATAACTGTGATGATACACAACGGACCTCCTGATTAATTAGCACACAACTGATTATTATTCTAAAATAACACAGGTAGTATATTATTTATTATTCCCCATTTCTCTGTAAAAATACAAAGAGAGTATGGAAAATCATATGAAATAAAGTGTTTAATACTTTTGTTTTATGGAGGGAGGGGCCCATGAAGGCAAGAATGCCTAGGCCCCACAAAAGTCCTAATGAATCCCTGGGTCAAACTCATCTGGTTCTACTGCACAGCCATATCACCTTCAGGAGTTTTTCTCACCGGTTCTGATTTATTTAGTTAGTTATTTTCAAGATTTATATGGCTGCACATCTTGGAAGACACAACTTTGGGCAGCTCACAACAATAATAAAACCAGAAAGAAGAAAAGCAGGTGCCTGACCCACAATCACTAATCCATCAGATCATACAATCCTCAGCCTCCAACCTCACCCCATCTCAGCACCTGGGGGAAAAGTCAACCCTTTATAGCTTTCTGGAAGGCTAAAAGGATGGGGAGAGCCAATTGGGTGTAGCATTTAAGGCTAGAACCTGGGAGACCATGAGTTCTAGTCCTGCCTGAGGAACAAAACCAGCTGGGTGACCTTGGGCCAGTCACTTCTTCTCAGCCCTAGAAAGGAGGCAATGGCAAACCACTTTTGAAATCTTGCTAAGAAAACTGCAGGGATTTTACCAGGAGACAACACTGACTTGAAGGCACAAAAAAAAAAAAGGATGGGGGGCCTGCCAAACCCACTGGGCAGGGGCTGTTATGGAAAAGGCATGATTCATAAGTCCTACTAGATGACTTTAAGGGAAGAGATCTGGAGCACACCCACGAGAAGTCCAGTTCTTTGGAATAGATGCTCACCAGGACTGTGCTTTGCATTTCTATGGGCAGAAAAGCACACCAGAGGAAGGCTTATAGTATGTGGCACAAAATTGGCTCTTTCTGTCCAAAAGCTACATGCAGACCTTGCTGTATTCCAAATGAGAGGTCTGCAAAAGTTGCCTGCATCCCCAGTTTCATTGCTCCTCCACTTCTCACTTTGAGGCATGAACTGATTCCTGGAAGAGAGATTTTGAAATTAAACTGCAACTTCAGTTAGTTCCTGTTTTAGAAAATAAGCGTGCCTTGGGCACATATCCTGCCTGTAACTTACATCTTACAGAAAATCTCTGTGGGTTGATGCTTGAGGTAAGGCCATCTGTGCCTACTTGCTATTCAAGGAGGCATGACTCCATTTCTTTCTCACTTCTGCTGGCTGAGCCTTTGTACAGTAGAAACTCTGAAGCACATGATCGTGCTGACACTGTAGCTCGGCTATTGGTAAAACCAGCTTAGAAATAAACTCAAGCAGGAGACATTTGCGGTCAATCCCCAGGGTAGGCTTTGACGACATTGAAAGTATTCATTATAATTTAATGCTCCAGGGGTGGAGAAACCACAGAAGCCCTTTCACCAAAATGCACTAAGAGTCATTTTCCCCAGAGATGTCTTTATGTAGAGCAGAAGCTGAAAATCTGATTTTACTGACTTTCTGCTTGAGTGAAGGAGATGAACTGCCGACTTAATAGGAATTAATTGGCAAAGGATGCTAGGACAGGAAACCATTGAGCAGGATGAAGGAGCTTCTGGATTTGCCCTGTGCAAGAGCAGTTAAGTAAATAGGAAATGTATGAACCAGGCAGTGCAACAGAAAGGAGGGTTGCCACGGTTCACAGGCTGGGCAAAATAACTCCCCATTCTCAAGCAGCAAAGGGGTTTTCTTGCAGAACTGAATGGCAAGAAGAGTTCCTAAGGGACTTTTTTTTTCTTTTTGCCCAAATTTGGAAGCTTCATCTCAGAATGGTCACTGACAATTTCATGAACGTGTTTGATCTCCCAGGAAGTTGTGTTAGTGAAGTGCCCAACTTTGGGCAGTGATTTTTATGACAGTCTCTCCGATCTTGCGCACAGACCATGGATTAACCCATCCTCTAGGAAATATGCTTCCTTGATGACCAAGTTTGAAAAGAAGCCAAAGACTAAAACTTTTTTTTTTTTAGATTTTTTTTAATCCTGTCTTTATTAGTTTTATAAATAACTCAAGGTGGAGAACAAACCTAATACTCCTTCCTCCTCCTATTGGCATTGTCTCCTATTTGCTGCTGCTGCTTCCTCTTCTTCATTCTCCTTGAAACAGTTTTGGCTCCTCCAGTGAAAGGGCAGGAAGGCAGGTTGTAACTGTGTTACCCAAACACAAATTTCATTTACAAAGCATTTTGCAATTTAATAATGCTACCAAATAATATGCCATCTTTTCATTGCAGGGTACAGAATCACTCAACGGGAGTGACCTTTCCAGGTCCTCCTGATTTCAATGCAACTGAGAAGAATTGCTCTGAACCTGGGATAAATTTCCAACACACTTTTTATGCCGCCGCGTACTCCATCATTTTCATCCCGGGCCTCCTATCCAACAGCATAGCTCTCTGGATGATATGGCTCGTCATCCGAAAGCAAAACAAAACCATCGTATTCCTGTTGAATCTGGCCACCGCCGACTTCATCCATGTCCTCTCCCTCCCTCTGCGGATTTATTATTACATCAACTACAAGTGGCCCTTCGGGTTCTTCCTTTGCCAGCTTTGCTTCTACCTGAAGTATCTCAACATGTATGCCAGCATTTGTTTCCTCACCTGTATCAGCCTACAAAGGTACCTTTTTCTGCTCCACCCATTCAAAGCCAAAGACTGGAAAAAGAGCTATGATGTCGCCATCTCTGCTGCCATCTGGCTGGTCGCTGGAGTCGCCTGCCTGATATTTCCATTGCTGAGAAAGACCCACCATTCCGAGGCTTGCTTCTCCGATCTCAGCATTGCAAAATTCCAGAGCCAATCAGCTTTGGTTGGGATGCTGGTGGTCGCTGAATTGGTTGGGTTTCTGTGCCCTCTTGGCATCATTGTCTACTGCACTTGCAAGATTAGAGCCTCCCTTCAGGAAAACCAAATGCCTTTACAAAACACTAGTGAGAAACAGAAGGCGTTACGGATGGTGGCCATGTGTGCTGTTGTGTTTTGTGTGTGTTTTGCCCCTTATCACATCATGTTTTTCTTCTTTATGTTGGTAAAAGAAGGTGTTCTGAGCAGCTGTGCTGTAAAGCAAAGTATCTTGTATCTTCACCCCTTTTTTTTAAGCCTTGCAAGCTTTAACTGCTGCTTGGATCCATTCCTATATTTTTTTGTGACATCAGAATTCCGTGATCGGATATCAACATACAGTAGCTTGTCCTTCAGAAGTCGTTTGTTAAGCAAGGAAAGTGCTTCTTCTATGAAGGAATAAATTAGTTGGGCTTCAAGTTGGACAAAAGATTGGAAGATCTACAGGAGCTTCCTTAGGCTCCTATAGTTCAGAGCTGAATTCTCTTATGTCTCCAGATCTCCTGTAGCACAGGAGTGGGCTCACATACCATACTAAGGAAAAGTTTGCTTTGTTCTGGTTGGTTGATTATACAATAGTTGGTTGGGTTCATACAAAATGATAAATCAGTGGTTCCTAATCTGTGGTCTGGGGACTACTGGTGAACCTTGACTGTTCTGCAAATGGTCCTGGTACAAGTGCCCTAAATTAATATAAATATATTCAAGTGATAAGCATCTCATTATACTGCTAAACCTTACAGGATTTAGGGGTTCTAACTTGAAATCTTGCAAGATATTGGTATTCTCACTTGAAATCTCCAACTGCTGTTTACAAATCATTCAAGATTGCAGGCAACAACATCAACGACTTGTAAGATATGATGATCTTCTGAGCTTGCAACTATTTAATTCGGGGGTCTCATGGATGCCATCTTATGGGAAGTTCCATGAACCAAAGTAGCCATATGTGCTACATTGCTGGCCCTTAGCTAATGTGGTGGTCTTCAAAAGCTTTCAGTGACCATGTTTTACAAATCACAAGGGTGGGATTCGCACAGCTAAGTCATAACATGATCTGTTTTGTTTTCATTTTTTCTATGAACTCAGTCTGACACTCATCGTTCCCAACCAGCAATTCCAAACTGGGTGGGGATCATCAAGTGTTAAGCTACCCAAACCAAAAACAGCTCTTCAGAGACAGGAGTTTCTTTTTCCCAGACCTGTCTGAGGTAGACAATGGCTGAATCTGTTTTATTTTGCTTTATCACATCCTTTGGAAGCACTAACACTTTTTGCTGCTCCTACTAATGCGCAATAGGACATTGCTTTGGGGGTGCAATTTCTGACTGATTTCTAGCTAGAATCAAAGGTGTAACTTGCATTAAGCCTTCAGATAGATTTAGCATACTGAAAACTTGCAAAAGAAAATTGGAATAAATTGGAATAAATTCCACAGTTATAAATAGAAGTTCTCTGGACTTCTCTTGATCTGCAACTTTCAGCTTATGGGTCATATGAATTAATTGCAGTGGGGGGGGTTCCATTAAAAAGGATAATTTAATCAATGAATTAACTGATCACATCTTTATAAATATGTACATACCCTATAAGTAAAGTAACTGTTCTGAAAGGGAAATGAAACAAGGATTCTGCTTTCAGTTATGTTCACTGCTTTTCAAGGAAGAAGATTCCTATTCAAGTATTTATTTACTTTATTTGCATGCTGCCTATTTCCAAAGGCTCATTTAGTGCAAACCTATATTAAACTAAGTGTGCAGAGTTATGTGCAGATGTGCATCGGAACTGATTCAATGTTCTTGAAGAATCTCCCTTGCCTGCAACTACTCTCAAAGACCAGGTGGCAGCTGTGGCCAGGAGGGCCTTTGCCCAGGTTCATCTTGTGTGCCAGTTGTACCCTTTCTTTGATCAGGAGGCCCTTCAGACATGCCCTGGTCTCCTCACAATAGGATTATTGCAATGAGCTCTACATGGGGCTGCCCTTGAAGACCACCCAGAAGAGGCAGCTGGTTCAAAATCCAGCGACATAAGCAGTAACAGGCACCTTTTGGTAGGCTCATGGATCACCACTGCTACGTGAGCTGCACTGGTTGCCAATCAAGGTGCTGGTTATTACCTATAAAGCCCTGCATGGCACAGGGCCTGGATAACTGAGGGAACCTTTGTCTCCAATCATTTCTGCCTACCCAGAATGTTCTAGCAGAGTGGGTGCACTCCTGCATTAAATATTGTTGTCTTGGGGACCAAGGACATGTGCCTTCTCTGTTGCAGCCCCTGCCCCCTGGAACGGCATCCCCTCAGAGGTAAGGACTGCACCCTCTCTCCTAGGGTTCCAGAAAGCTCTGAAAACCTGCCTTCGGCCCCAGGCCTGGGGTTGACATATTAATGTACCATTGTATTTCTGGGAGAGCCGATTTTGTTTGATTGCCGTTGTTTATGAGGTCGTTGGGTGCTTACAACAAATTCAAATAAATAAATAAATAAATAAATAAATAAATGCCTTCTTTTTCTCGACGTTTGCAAATTGTTCAGTAATCCAGAAAGAGACTGAAACTCTGTTCAGTGAAACCACAGCTGGACACTTGAATAATTAGTGTCCAGTATAAGAACTGGTGCCCCTGTCCTCATGCCTATGGAGGTTCTAGTTCTAGTTCTAGCACAGTCTGACTTAACGTGATGGGGTAAGCCAGTGATGGCGAACCTTTTGGGCTCGGCGTGTCAAAAATTCGGAAAATGCCTAAATTGACTCTGCTGGCAGGCCACCCCCACCCTTGAACAAAAGAGAAACAATTCTTTACATATTCATTTATTTAAAAAAAAATACAGGCCAATCATGCGTGGTGCTATATGTTATATAAAGAAACATCAAAATAATTATAAAAATGAAATACCAGTAAAACAAACTCAGTTTCTTTGATAACTCAAACAGGGAGAATAGTTGTTGGGTGTTGGTGAACGCCGGTGTGTCACCCCAAATGTCGTGGCATGTCACCTTTGACACGCATGTCATAGGTTCGCCATCACTGGTGAAAGTGATTGTGAAGACTCTGTGAGTCTTTCAGATTGAAGAGAGAGAGAAAGAAAACGTTAAAAATATAGGAGATGCAAAACTCCCATGACTAGGAAAGTTTGCATAAGCTGACAATCTAGTCCACGTTGCAACAATTCATCCCTCTCTTAATAACGTGATCTGGATAACAATGCACTTTCAAATATAGAGATGCATTCTGATTTCTGTATGTTTGCATTTGTGTGTCTGTGTGTGGGTGGGTAGGGGGTTGTCTTTTTTTTTCCATTCAGGTGCATCCTGTTGGCTATTTTTATCTTTTCATAGCCGACTGTTGGCAGGAAATACTTGCCATCTTGCTTTTACAAAGAAAAAAAGTCACATTTTTTGCATCCCACTGCTTATCCATAGCCAGAACTTTTAAAAAGCAAATCCAATCAGTGACAATGGTTTAATATTATGAATATACACCAATAGGTGAGAAAAACTGAAATTCCAATGTCAATATTTTAAGAAAACCTG